TTGGCGAATAGAGCTTGTAGTAAGCAGGGGGAATAAGGGAGGTATTAAGGAACTTCCTCTCTGCTCATTGGTTTGAAGAATAAGCATCACTGTGCAACAATCCTTTTAATCATTGCTTGAAACACCATAAAAAGGGTTTTATCCATAAATGACTTGTTATTTTCAGTTACATTAATATAATATTAGTTTAACTTGTTCATTTTATTTGGGATTGAGTACTGTGTTTCTAATGATGTTTATTATTTGTTAAAAGTACTGTTAAAGCTGCTTCTCTAAGCTGTCAGTATAGACTTTTGACTCGTGCAATAATATGTTTTTTCAAATTGTTGTGTTATTGCTTTCTTTTTCATCGCTACATCCTAAAGCTGACAGTGGAGGCCACCTAAGTGCAGTGAACCCATTCTCAAGTTGAAGAAACCCACTTGAGATCATTTGAGCTTAATGACATTATCCTGCTGCAAGCAGCCATCAAAAGATGTGGTCATAAAGGGATGGAGATGGTCAGAAACAATACTCAGGTGGGCTGTGGTGTTGTTTAAATGATGGTCAGGTGGCATTAAGGGGCCCAAAGTTTCTCAGTAAAATATCCCTCACACATTACACAACCAGCTTAAACTGGTGATCCATCACAGGATGAATTCATGCTTTCATGTCGTTTGCAACAAATTCTGATGCTACCATCTGAATGTCAAGACTCATCAGATCAGGTGTTGTTTTTCCAGTCTTCTGTTGTCTAATTCTGGTCAGCCTGAGTGAACTATAGCCTCAGTTTCCTGTTCTGAGCTAACACCAGTGGTACTCTGGATACCTTAATCTCATCTGACCTCTGAAGCCTAAATAAAACACAGGTGGGACAGACAATAACAAAGGAGAGTAGACAAAGACAGGAAGTAAAAACAGAGTAAAAGGTGAAGCAACTATGGCAACAAGACAGGACGTGGAAACTTGAAAGATGAAGACAAGATAGCAGATGGCAACATAAGAAATATCCGAAAGAGTAACCAAACATTTAAAATAAACACCAGATAAATGGTCTATACTTATATAGCGCTTTACTAGTCCCTAAGGACCCCAAAGCGCTTTACACATCCAGTCATCCACCCATTCACACACTGGTGATGGCAGCTACATTGTAGCCACAGCCACCCTGGGGTGCACTGACAGAGGCGAGGCTGCCGGACACTGGCGCCACCGGGCCCTCTGACCACCACCAGTAGGCAACGGGTGAAGTGTCTCGCCCAAGGACACAACGACCGAGACTGTCCAAGCCGGGGCTCGAACCAGCAACCTTCCGATTACAAGGCGAACTCCCAACTCTTGAGCCACGATCGCCCCGTAAGAACCCAGGCCACGTCACACTTTAAATCACTTTCTTCAGGGTGGTAAATATGTAACATAATGGATGACTTTTTAATAACAGTAATAACTTTTATAACGACTCCAAACACTTGTCACAAATTTTATACCAAAGAACAGGATATCTGGCCTCAACCTACACCTGCTTATAGTCAGATAATAAGTTAACCAGAACTAATTAGCACTGCTGAAGAAAGCAACACAGCGGTGTTTATATAATAATCGTTATCATAAAATGATAATCATCTGCTGCAGACATTAATTAATTTTGCACTGGTAGAAAACTGGTGGAGTGCCAGTCAAAACACAGACACACACAAATTCCTGTTCTTTCCTTATCAGCTGCTTCGGCTAATGTTGTATGAGAAAGCAGATAAGATTGCGTAATTGCGAAGTCAACCAAAACAGACTCAAATGCAGCACCGCCACTCAATCACCATCTGCGAGCGGCCCCCTGAGCTCAGTGTCTGCAACATTCATTTGCCTGGGGGCAGATTTAATAGAGCGGTCACGCTGTGCTGGATAAACACCAAACAAGGACACACTAAAAAACATTTAAAAGCCTCATTTAAAGTTTTAGGAGACTGACACATGAAAAATGTCCTCAAGTGCACGAGCAATTCTTCTATCATTGATATTTATAAAAAAAACAACAAAGTTTTTTAAGGAAAGGGATTTTGTTTGGAAGACTGTAGCATACACAGACCTTTGTGAGACATTTGAGCTTCTTTTAATTATTTCTCCATAATCAGCGAGCGCAGTGATGCAGGTGTCACACTGACCCATCAACTGTTCTCAGAGAGGGCACGTTAATCCCTTGTTTCTCATTATTTTCCAAAGCTGTGCCAAAATCAGAGGTCAGCTTGACATCAATAGAGGCGTGCTCTCGGGCTGACAGTGGCTGATCTCCGGGGCTTTACTCCACAGAGAAAGAGCCTCAAAAAATAGTGAGAAATGCAGATCAGCTGGGATGATGCAGCAAAAGAAGAGACGAGCTCACTCTAAAATATGAGCTGACAGATCAGATTAAATGTGGCTGTCTGCTGTTTGAGTGGTCGTAGAGTGAGAGGCGGCAAATCTCACATTTCTTAGCAGTATATGCAATAAACGTGTAATATAAATAACATTATTAAAGCTTAAACAGGCATCAGAACATCTACAATAACATTTCAACAGGTGAGTTTCTTGAATGTTTCAGATACATCTGCAGCTATTCTGTTAAACTGACTGCTTGTAGTTCTCAAAGATGCTTTTATACAATGAACCCATTCATACGAGCACTTTTTCTACACTTGACGTTCACACACTGATGGAAGCAACCGAGAAACCTGCTCCACCTCCTGAGCTACAGATCCAACTGCCTAGAAAATCACCTGCAACCACCAACGTTTTCCTAGATGCAGGGAGGCTGTTGTCCTACTTTTACTCTAATATGACTGAGCCTTAAACTAACTGTAGGATGGCGGTATCCAGTTGACTCGTCCTGTGTGACGTTAACAAAAGTTAGTACAGTTGTTATGTGCCAAAACTAGAGATGTGATGTAATAAGGAGAGGCACTGAGATTTTGGACCACACCTTTCTTTAGAAATATGTTTTCCCTCCAGATAAATGGTCGTCTGTCACTCAGGAGGTAGAGATTTCTTGCTACTAACTTCAGTCCTTTGTAAAGATACCGATTGCTAAATCGTGAGGTCTGCGGCGTGGCTGAGGGGGAGGCGGACGTACCTGAGCAGCATCCGCAATCTCGCCTCGCTGGCTTAAAACAGAATGAACTAGGTCGTGGTGTTGTTGGTGATGTGCAGAGATGGGCAGTAACGTGTTACCTGTAACGCGTTACTGTAATCTGATTACTTTTTTAAAGTACTTTTTTAAAGTAACGAGTAAAGTAAGGGATTACTATCGCAAAAACGGTAATTAGATTACCGTTACTTTCCCGTAGGAACGCTGCGTTACTGCGTTACTAAAACCGTGATTTTTTTGCGAGA